GGTCTCTAGGTTTCTTTTATGTCGTAATGGGCGCAACCTCAAGGTTGGAGGTGGGCAGAGACCAAATAGAGTAAGGAGGAAGTCAGGAACCAGAGATGGGAGGTCGCAAAGGCCCTCCCCTCTCCAGTTTTAGCCAATGTTGGTCAGATGTCAGTATGGATCTCACTAATCACGGACAGGCTTGTGCCTGATTGTGAAACCCGAGTTCAAACACACCACATCTCCAAGGCTCATCTCTCATCTATAAAATGGGTGCCCAAGGATCCCCAGCTGTATGATAGTTATGGTCTATATAGGCATATGTAAAAGGGAAGAAGTATGTACGTTATCTAATGGCTCTGCTTTATTCTTTGAATTTTACCCTTAAATCCTATGCATGCACTAAGTAGTTGGCAAAGCTCCTGTTTCTGGCTCTCCTCTTCAGTGGCCCGATCCTGCCATGGGAGCGGGATGCCCATATTCCTGTTTTATAAGAGAAAACAGGAAGCTTGCATGTAAGTTACTGTGATTTTTCTCTCAACAGCCCCCGCGCCCCTCATCCTTGGCATCATCTAGCTTGTTTTTTGTCTTACTTGTTCTGGTGGTTTCATAGACATGGAATCATTCTTGTGCGATATTATGCATTTATCCCCCCCCCCCCTGCTTATTTTCCAAGTTATGGCACATGTAAGTGCTTCATTCTATTTTTTTAATAGTCAAACAATATTTTATTGCATGAACATGCCACATTTTTGTTTATTTATTTATTTATCTGAACTGATGAACATTTGGTTGTTTCTATCTTTCTCTTTCTGTTTTTGTTTTTGCTTTTGGGCCACACCTGGCCGTGCCAGGCTCTGTTCCTGGCTCTCTCTTTGCTTAGGTGCCACTTCTGGTAAGTGTGCTCTGGTGACCATGCAATGCTGGGAATTGAACCTGGGCCACCTGCATGCAGAGCGTGTACTCAGTCTTTCCAGCTATTTCTCTGGCCCTGTTTCTGCCTTTTGACTATGGAATAGTTTTTTTGTGAAGGATCTCATTGGATTTGCTAAAAAATTCCATTGAGGATGATGATGACCATTATGGAAAACAGTATAGAAAACCATTTAAAATAAAAAATGAAAGTACTGCATGGTCCAGTAATTTCATTTTTGGAAATTGTACCATTGTTTTGGAGAAATATCTGAGTCCCTATGTCATTTGCATTATATTAGTCAAAACATGGAAAGAAGCTAAGTATCCATTTATGGATGAGTGGTTAAAACAAATGTGTTATATATAAAAATGTTGTATATATTATATATATTATTTAGTCATGAGAATGAGAGACATTCTACCATTTGTGACAATGTGGTTGAACCTTGAGGGCATTATGTTGAGAAATTAAAGAAAAACATGCTGTGAGATCTCCCATATGGAGTCTTAAAAATAAAAACAAAACCCAAACTTGTAGGAAAAAGAGAACAGTTTGGGCCAGGGAGATGCCTCAGAGGGCTGCAGTGCGTGCTTTGAGCTGGGAACCCTGAATTCACTCCTAGCATGGCATGGGGTCTCCAGCACTGCCAGGAGTTGCCCCCAACCCCTGCCAAAGAGGTGAGAAATGGGGGAAATGGGGAAAGGAAGTTAAAAAGGCACACCTAGTTAGAAAAGGAATGAAATTCTTCTACTAGAACAATGATTCTAATTTAATGGTGCTCTATTACATATTTGAATGTTAAGGGATGATACTGTAAAAACGCATTGCACAAAAAATTACGTGATATATATTTTTACTTACAGTGATAATCATTTTTCTGTATATGTAATTGTTGGGCTGGGGCAGGTAGGGCATTTGCCTTGCATGTGGCCGACCCGGGTTTGATTCCTCCATCCCTCTCAGAGAGCCCAGCAAGCTACGAGAGTATCCTTCCTGTATGGCAGAGCCTGGCAAACTCCCCATGGAGTATTCAATATGCCAAAAACAGTAACAAGTCTCACAGTGGAGACATTTCTGGTGCCCGCTAGAGCAAATCAATGAGCAACGGGAGGACGGTGCTACAGTGCAGTAATTGTTATTTTGTGTAACTTGAATGTGAGCAGTGTTATATGTCTATTATATCTCACAGGTGGGTGTTGGGAGACAGGAACTCAATGAGGAAGGCACTAATTTTATTATAATTGTACAGATAGGAAAGTTGGGGAACTGAGAGATTATGGCTGTATACTATATGTGTGCTGCAGTTTTGTCTGCCCGGCCGAACTCCAAGTTTGTCACAGTTGTTACTCTTTTTTACTTTGCTGCCCATATGGACAAGGTGAAGCTGGCTCAAATAATTGAAACACTAGGGCCTTAGTGTAAAGCTTAGCTCTTCTATTTGCCGCCAAGTAAAAGATAGTGTTATTGGGAGCAGTGAAGGAGAGACAAAGTTGGTGCTTAAGAAAACTTGTTTTTTAACATCCTTTCCTCCCTCTTTTTATAAAATCGAATCACCATGAGATACAGTCACAAAGCTTTCATGATTGAGTTTAAGTCGTACGATGATCAAACACCCATGCCCCCACCAGTGTGCATTTTCCACCACCAATGTCCCCAGTATCCCTTCCGCCACCCCCACATCCCCCCTCCTCTGTGGCAGGCGCTTTCCTTCTTGCTCTGTCTCTGCTTTTGGGCATTATGGTTTGCAATACAGATACTGAGAGCCCATCATCTGTGCTCCTTCAGCTACTTTCAGCACATGTCTCCCATCCTGAGCGATCCTCCAACCATCATTGACTTAGTAGTCCCTTCTCTATCCCAACTGCCTTCTATGTGTGTTAACATCCTTTAAAAGAGAATTGGCTGAGATTCATACAAAATTCTACGTTTGTACCTCTCAGTATATATGTTTTTTTTCACAAGGTTCTTGCATAGTATTCCTACAGGACAGGACAGGGAATCACTGCCATTCCAGGGTACTTATGTAGATTTTAATTTATTCTCTCCTAGTAGATTTGTTTTTATGTAAAAATAATAAACCAATCGATTTAACATGAAAAAAGTAAGTGATGCAGACATATGCACCTGGTTTCTACATGTTTTGCACCTGGCATGTGACATGGTAAGCAGGTGGTGTGACGCATGTGGGGACTGTTGAGGTGGGGCGCTCGCTACTGTTCCTGCTATGAGGTGATATAGGGGTCATTGGAGCTCTGTTGCCTCACTGATATTTCTGAATTTTCAAGAGTGTGAAAGAATGGACTTTTCCTTTGTGCCATCTGGTAAATTAGAAACTTATTATTATTATTATTATTATTATTATTATTATTTTTGGCTGTACTCAGGGCTTGCTCTGGCTCTGTGTTCAAGAATCACTCCTGGTATTGCTCAGGGGACCATATGTTTTGCTGGGAATTGCACCTGGATTGATCCCTTGCAGGGCCGGTACCTTAACCCCTTTACTATATTTCCAGCCCCTAGAAAAACCTTACAAAATGCTACAGTATTGTAATTTTAAAATGTAGTAACTTTTAGAGAAAGCTGCCAAATTATTCAAACCATTTAAGAAACAGTATCTAGGAAGTAAATATTAGAACAGACAAAATTATTCCAAAAGTTAAAGCTTAGGAATTCTGTTGTTTTTAGCACGTGAGTATGTTCTTTATTTGGTGGCTTTTGAAAAACCCTTAATTGTTGTTTTAGTTAAGCCTTAGCTTTCCTTCAAAGCTTTATATTTTTTTTCTCATCACTTCAAAACTTTTCTTCCAGTTACTATCGACAAGTCAACATTTCTCTAGCAACTGTGGTTCTGAAAGATTTAAGCCACCATTTTGTATCTAATTGCATTCTAATTATATTGGCTGTTTATATGTTGCATAGAGTTCTTTTCATAGGCTGGCCGTAAGCATGGGCATGAGCCCTGTATTACCCTCCAGGTATTTTCAGGTAAAACTGATTTTGAGACCCATGCTTTGCACATGATTTGTGCAGTTTATGAGGTGTTTTCCAGGGTGTTGTAAAATGTCATTCTGATAACTTGTAAATACAAGTTTTCAACCAATGTGAAGTTCTGAATATGCTGCAAATTGTCTTCCTTCAGTGGTTTTCCAATTTAAATTAACTTATGACCAGTCACCACATTGTTCAGGTCCTGATTACAAATCCATATGAAAAGATAATTAAATAGACTCCTCTTTCTTCATTGATTTTAATTTAAAACTTAATTCATGTAGTGCTGCACAGAGTTACAGATTTGAAAAGTTTGATAGACCCATGTGTTATTAAATAGATAGATCCATTGTGTTATTAAAATGTTTCTGCAAGTTGTGTGTTTGCTGGCTGTTGGCTGTGCTTTCTCTGGGGCAAGGGACTTGGGCATCTTGTCGTGTGGCTATGACCGCTACATCAGTGTGGCACAGAGTCTGCATTCTTTCATATAGTTGACATAGCAGTTTATTTTCTATTTCTGTTTTTGAATATTAACCGTAAGCAGAGGGCAGCACAAGTAGTACAGAGCAGAATTATTCCTTTTAGTCACGTAGCATTCTAGAACATGAGAACATTTCTCATGTTTTCCATTGGCATGTACAATTTTGTTATTTCTGTTTTCCTTTGGATCAAACTCAGAGCCTCACCCATGTCAGGCCTGTGCCTCTCCACCTGACCCCCCTTTCTGTTTTACAAGTGCTGCTTCTAGAATGGTCATTCATAGGAATCTGAAATGAGAGATTCCTCTATCAAAATGTATATGATGTCTCTTCTGATTTTCCTTAATATTTAGTTTATTTATCAGTTATTAAGCAGATTGAATTCAGATTTGTGGCAAATTGAAATATATCAAGTTCAGTACTTTTATGTGTTCTAAAAATGATTCTTTGTAGATTATTTTGCAAAGAAAGCAAATCAATTAAAATTTTTTCCCTAATTTTCATTATCAAGGAATTTTGCATGTGGACTTGTGTGCATTTGCATAAAACTAATAAGCGTATTAGAACAGAGGTTTAAGAGAAACTATCAATTTTTCTTAACTGCCACATCACTGCTTTTTTATTTTGTTTCCATTTAGGTTTTTTCCCTAGCAGTTCTCAAGGGTGTGATGCATTTCTTCGCCACAAGATGACACTGATATCTCCTTCAGTATTGAAGAAATATGGTATTCCTTTTGACAAGGTACCTTAACATTACTCTTCAGCAAAATTATTTTGTTTGTAATATTAGACACACATATACACTAAGTTAACATACACTACTGTAACTTTTATTTTCAGTAGAATTTTTAGGATGTGGGGAGAAAAATTATATTCACATTTCATAATGGAACAATGTTTAAATACTAATTTGAGTTACTTTTTTATTAGGGCATGCTTGCTGAAGATGATATGCTGTAAGACTTCTCTTGTTACAATACTGATAATAAAATGTAGCACATTTGACAAGATGTGGTACTTCTGCATTGAAGTCTTATGTTAGCGATGTCATTTATGTATATGTGACTTTTGAAAAGGAGTAAGAACGATTATTAATTGTTTGGTTAGTTAGAATCGATGACTATAGTCCCAGTATGTTGCATTTCAATACAGTACAATTGAATATCTTTTTATTATGAATAAAAAGATACCTAATGATTTAATAATGAGATTGCTTTGAAGTAGTTCTGAAGATTAAATTCTCTAAGACTCAGTACGTACTAGATTCCTTTTTATATGCAGTCATGGGTAGTTTGGGGCTTGAAATTATTATGGTGTATGAGAATTTTTATGAGAAGAAGCTAAAATGAAAAAATGCATTTGACCAGATAACTAAAAGCTCTCTCTGTTGGAGGAGGATTAAGTTCTTAGCTGCTTACAGAAACATTAAAAAAAATAACTCCAGTCTCTTCATTTTTATTTGACTTTCCTTCCCATAATCCATACTGTTTTCCACCATAGAGGCTGCGCACTTGGTCTAAATGTTTACTTCTTCTTAATCTCAGACCCCTAGAGAGTCCCACCTCCTTCTCCTTTAGCTTTGTTCCAAGAGGAATTTTTGCAAGGACTAAAGAATCTTGCTCCAGCCTGAGGTGGTGTCCCAGTTCACTGGTGCTAAGGCACCAGTCCTGCATGTGACCCACCTGGCAGTCACCACTGACTTATTTTTGTGCTTTTTACCTTTGACTGCAAGCAGGCGTCTTAAGTTGCGCACTGTTGGGACCCCTGGTGTGGAGAGGAGCTGATGACGGGCTTGGTGCAGCACGGTTTCTGGAATACCGATAGAGGCTGTACCCTCTACTCCCGTCCCTGAAGGGGCACTGAACTTTTCACTCTCAGAGCCTCATAATGAGCATTTCTTTGGAGGGGTCAAAAACTTGATTAGATACTTTTATTTATTAATTTTTATCTGACATTTTTACTTTTCCCGCTTTTTTAAAAAATTGAATCACCATGAGATAGTTTCAACGCTTTCATATTTGAGTTTCAGTCATACGATGATCAAACACACATCCCTCCACCAGTGTACATTTTTCACCACCAATGTCCCCAGTATTTCTCCCCTCCGCCCCCCCCCATTCAACCCCTCTCTCTGCCTCTATGGCAGACAATTTTCCTCTTACTCTCTCTCTACTTTTGGGCATTATGGTTTGCAATACAGATACTGAGAGGCCATCATGTGTGGTCGTTTGTCTACTTTCAGCATACATCTCCCATCCTGAGTGATCTCTCCAACTACCGTTGACTTAGTGATCCCTTCTCTATCGCAGCTGTCTTCTCCCCCAGTTCATGAGGCAGGCTTCCAACCGTGGAGTAATCTTCCTGGCCCTTGTCTCTACAGCCCTTGGGTGTTAGACTCATGTTATTTTATATTCCATAAATGAGTGCAGTCATTCTATGTCTGTTCCTCTCTTTCTGACTCATTTCATTTAGCATGATACTCTCCATGTCCATCCACTTATAAGCAAATTTCATGACTTCATCTTTCCTGGGCTGGAGTGATAGCAAAGCGGGTAGGGCGTTTGCTTTGCATGAGTCCAACCTGGGTTCGATTCCTCCATTCCTCTCGGAGAACCTGGCAAGCTACCAAGAGTATCCCGCCTGCACGACAGAGCCTGGCAAGCTCCCCATGATGTATTCGATATGCTAAAACAATAACAACAAGTCTCACAATAGAGACATTACTGGTGCCCGCTCAAGCATATCGATGAACAGGGGGAGGACAGTGCTACAGTGCCTCAGTTTTACATCTTTTCTAACAGCTGCATAGTATTCCGTTGTGTAGATTTACTAAGGTTTCGATTAGACACTTTCAATTGAAATATGCTTAGGCAGAGAAGTTGTGGGCTACAGTCCTCGAAGATGGGAACTGATTCAGCTGATCTTTGGATAGCGGTTTGGCAAGATGCCTGGCAGAGGGTTTGGTGGATAGATGGGGACCTTTAGAGCATGCTTTCCTCTCTTTTGGGGAGTTAGACCCAGGTACCCTGCACCCTCTTCTGAGAGCTCTCTCCTAGTACTGTTTTCTAGCTGTCTTGCTTTGCTAGGATCTCGTCTCGTCTTTCGAAGCTGGGTCATTTTATGTAATTCTTTTGTAGGTGGCCGGATCATTCAACATTTCCTCCCTCTCTCCTCCCATCCCCTTTCCCCCTGCCCAGTTCCCCCGCCCTGCCCCCACCAAACACATGCAGATACCTTGAGGTGTTCAGAAACTACTCCTGGCTCAGAGCTAGGGCTTAGGGGAGGCACTTCTGGTGGTGCTGAGGGGACCTTGCAGTGCCTGGAATCAAGACAAGGGCTCCTGCATGCAGAGTGCACCTTCAGCCCTGCCAGCTGTCTCCCCAGCTCCAGTTCAGCTCTCTTTAGGCATTCATTGCCCAGAGGAATAGCTGTTTTTCTTTTCAGTTTCCATGCTCTTTCCACACTCTTTCCATCTCTCTCTCTGTTCTCTCTCTCTCTCTCTCTCTCTCTCACACACACACACATACACACACACACAAAACATGAGCATATATATATATATGCATATATACGTGTATATTTATGGGTAAGTAATGATTAATACGTTGCTAACGTCTGTGCTTTTAGATTCCATAGGTGAAATGAGGTTTTGATCATTATTTAGTCATCTTGTAAAATGAACTTGTTTCTGTCCCTGTACTTTTTTTTCTTTTTGGGTCACACCTGGCAATACTCAGGGGTTACTCCTGGTTCTGCACTCAGGAATCACCCCTGGGAACCATACGGGATGCTGGGAATCGAACCCGGGTTGGCCACGTGCAAGGCAAACGCCCTACCTGCTATGCTATTGCTCCAGCCCCAGCCCCGGTCCCTGTACTTTTATGTCAGTTTATGGAGGCAGGAAGTTTAAAAGTTTTCCTAAATGGGACTAACTTGTTTCTAGAACCTATACAGAGGTATAAACATTCAACCCTATTCAGTAGGAACAAGGTGCTCTTTTTCCTTGTGGTAAGAACAAGATTTCCTAGTAGACGATCGATGGTGGGATTCAGCGTGGCAGGGAAGGTGGTTTCTTCAGCCCAGGGGCGCTTTTCCTCCTCTTCCCGCCACCTTTTTAGGGCTAGAAGAGGGTAAGTTGGGTGAGCTTTGTTTCTCACATAGTTTCTAAGCACATTTAGAATTAATGAGAATCAGTGAGATCATGCAAGGAAAGACTCAGGCTCAGAAGGCTGGAACTAGAACCATGTGGAGTGCTGATATGCCACTCCTGGTCTGCCAGGTGGCAGCTGAGTTGCTGCTCACTGCAGTCGAACTCTTGCAGGGGTGGCTTGGGGGGAAGTGGTGGGCAAGATAAGCTGAATTTCAGAATTGTTGGGAAAGAAAATATTCCTTCCCACACACAATATTTTAGCAGCCCTAAAATGGACGTTGAATTGCAGCGTGTGCAACTGTATTTATACAGTGTGCCCCTGTGTGTCTGTGCACACATACATGTTTGCATACTCATTTCTCAGCATTTTAGGAGGGATTAAAATGTACCGTGGTGGCCAGAGGAACTAGTAAACAGTAAATTGGTTGATTCAGTAGATAGATTAATAAAAAACTATAAAATTTTGACTTCATTGTTTTTCTGTAGCTCACGGCATGTTTTGTGCGCTTTGATTGCTATTAAAGAAACCCAGCATCTTGGGGACTAAGGTGCTTGCCCTGCTTGTCACTTATCCATGTTTGATCTCTGGCATCACATATCCTCCGAGCCCCTCCTGGAGAGATTCCCGAGAGAAGAGCCAGGAGTAAATTCTGAGCACTGCTGGGTGTGACCCCGAAACCAAGCCAAACCAGAAAAACGAATGTCTTTAATATAGAAAATAGAAATGGAATAAATACATGGCACATGTTTGATTTCGGTCTCTTGACAGATTTACCTATTATCTTAATTAAAAAAATACTTAAACACATGCATATTTGTACATTTAAATCCTCTTTCAAATAATATTCTTTCAAAAAATTTATTAAAACACCTTGATTTTCAAAGTTGTTCGTAATACAGTTGCTTCAGGCATATAATGATCCAATACCAATCTCTCCACCACTGTGATCTTCCCTCCACCAATGTTCCCAGTTTCCCTCCCGTTCCCTAGCCTGACCTGTTAGTAGGCACAAATAAATTTACTTCTTGTTGTTTACGCCAGCAAATCAAATGGTACTCTTTTTTGTTTGTTTTTTGGCCCCCATCTGACCATGCTCAGGTGTTCCTCTTGACTCTGTTCCCAGAGATCACTTATGGCAGTGATTGGGGGACCATATGGGGTATCAGGAATTGAACCCTGGTTGGCTGTGTGCAAGGCAAGCACCTTACCTAAATACTAACTCCCTGGTCCTCAGTAATATTCTTTGGTGGGATATTTTTGTTAATCAGATGTCTTCTAAGTATTTTGAAAAGATAATTTTGTGACAGCCACAGACTTTTAGTGGATTCATAATAAAGTCTACACAGGCAGTGTTGAATTTTTCAGGCTTTAATCTCAAAAGTGCCAATCATATGACCTGTTGTGAGTTCAGTTGTGAAACTTTAAAATATGAAACGACACATTGATTATACTATTTGTAAGTATTGATTGCTAGTATGAGTAAAATTTATTTGAATAATGAGGATCATTGAGGATCTGATCAGTTAGTTCCATTACCAGAAGGTAATACACACTGTTTAGAAAAGTCCAGAAGTTTTCCTGAAAAGTTTAGAGAAGGATCAAAGATCTGTGGGATTTTTTTTATAGTAGTATAGCTGTGACACATTGCATGATCTCCTCATTTTTCAATAGGAAATATATTGTAATTGTATTTACAATTGGGAAGTCATGTAATTGGAAAATACTGTATGTTTTCTACCCTGAAGATCACCCAGGAGGCTGGAGAATTTATGATCACTTTCCCATATGGCTACCATGCTGGTTTTAATCATGGTTTCAACTGTGCAGAATCTACAAATTTTGCTACTGTAAGATGGATTGACTATGGAAAAGTTGCTAAATTGGTAAGTCATGCCTCACAAATAAAGCCTAAATTAAATGTGTATCCTGGTTATTGTAGTGGGAAAGCTAAGATCACATACAGTCTTATTTTTTCCTTATTGACCTGTGCCTCTCATCATGGTCATTTATTTCGGACTAGTATACTTATCTTGCATAGTTTATATCACCACTTGAAGCTACATTTTTCTTTTTTGAGATTAAAGTGGAAATGATTTACATTAAAAATTAATGCCGGTTCCTCTCTTAAGGCTACCAATTTTCCTTTTGAAAAAATTTTTTAATTTTGTAACTCCATGTGAATTTGTTGTATTTTTAACCCATGGCTTAGAAAACAGTATTTATAGAGGAGAGTGGCTGTTGATACTATGACAACAGGCAGTTGAGAGGGGACGTTAGGAAGAAGCATTTGAAACATTCCTCAAAGCAGAAGGGAGTTTTATAAAAATAATAGGATGGAACTGTTTAATTAAAAATACATTGTCATGTTAAATTTGGCTCAAAATCTTATATTTCATGCCCAGTATATCTAATTTCATTTATAGATGATGTGTTTTCATTCACAAAAAGGAAACTTTGTTAAGCTTAATTCCCCCGTCGTTTGAAATAGATAGAGGACACCTTCAGTGTGATGGTAGCTTCTGTTTGATTGTTTTTTTCCCTGTGACTTGTTTTTGTTTCATTTGCTTTCTATATTTTGGGCCACACCTGTGGAGTTCCGGGCTTATTCCTGGCTCCGGTGCTCAGTGATCTCTCCTGGGAGAGCTTAGGGACTATGTGGGGTGCAGGGGATTAAACCAGGTTAACCTGGTACAAGGCAAGTGCCAACCCTCTGTACTATTGCTCCAGCTGCTCCTATGACTTTGGAGGCAAAGATTCAGGTTGGTGGAGTGCAGCTTCTGTTGATGCTCTGTGTTTTATGGAGTATGTAAAATAGACATAGAGTTACCAGAAAATGATAACCACATACCTTATGTGACTTTTTCGTAGCCACTGCTTGGCACAAATGAGCATTCACTCATTCTGTGTTGATCAAACTTGCATGTAAGACCTTGGGTGAGGTTGGGTAGAAATACATTCAGGGAGGGCAACTCTAGGTTTAATTTACAAATATACTTTGAAAATCACATAATATATTAAAAGCAGAGTTCTTTGGCAGCTCAGGGATCATTTGAATGAATTCTTGACGTAAAAAGAAAACAGCTGCTATTAGAAGACTTTTTGTGTTCTGAATAATTTCTGTTTATGAGGGGTCATTTAGAAAGGAACAGAATCGAACAACTTTTCCCCATTACTCATTCTGTATTCTTACAATAAGCCTAATAAAAATAGAACACTCAGTGTGTACCTTGGCTACTATTGCAGTGCTTTTGCAGACATGTTATACATCTGCACTGAACAGCCTGGCCTCAAGGCTCTAACAAGGTATGGTATTTTATGGTTTGCATCTTTAATTACTGACATTCTAAGTCAGCTATCACAGCTGTTCAGCGTCAACAGAAAAATTACTTGGTGCTTGTTGACTGCAAGTTTCTGATCTAATTCATGAGTCATTGGCTAAAATAGTTTCTTCCTGAAGCTAAAATGTTCTGATAAAGTAACAGAATTGTTTGGGGGTGTGTATTCAAATTTCCACGTGGATGTGGAAGGGGAATGGAGTGAGACTTGACTGGAAAGGTCTATGGTGGTAGCCTTGGAAATCTCCACCTTCAAAACCTAGATTGATGGAATTGTTACAAAAGCAGGACACTGTGCTTGAGGACGTTTGCAGTGGAGTGACCCGAACGAGCGAACGAGCGGGGCTCTCCTCTTCTAGCTTGTAGTCTTAACTCTAGGAATGTTACTGTTTCTACTTAAATCAGTTAGAAATGTGTTTGCATCCCATAGATTTGTTGGAAGGAGAAGAAAACCAGAGTTGATGTAAATAGCCAGCAAAGCTTTTGGTCTCCATCATGCCATTTAATAATGTTCATGTCTGTCTTGGTTCTGAGTACAGAATTTTCAATGGCTTTGATACTGGTGGACCAGTTAGTTTAGATGTTCTTAATCGGATATATTTGAGGTGTGTTTAATGTGTCTCCCTTCCATTGGTAAGTGGTGCTGCTCCGTGTATTCATTTTTTATTGCTGCAGTCTCTTACATTTCAGAGCAAGCAGTCTGCAGAATGCCCTTTATCATCACATATTGCAGGGCTTATTAGAACACGGATGTCCTTGTTGTTGGATATGTCCAGTGGAGGAGGGTAATGAGAGGGGAGGGAATCTGCCTGCCTCAGAGGGTTTTAATGAATAATTTACATGGTGCTGTATTGTGATTCTGTTTTGAGTTATATAGCTAATTTTAATCTGCATAAAAATTAAAACAACTTGTGATGGGTGTAGTTTCGAATGTCCCATGTTAAAGCATTCTTGTATGCCTTACTATTATTTTCTTGACTATTATCAAGTAAGTTCTTTGATACTGCAGTGTGTTATGATGGCATTTTCTTGCTGCTTTTGGTCTCGTATTTGACATTTGATTGGCTTTTATGTATCTTTATGAATTCATTGTGTGGTGTGTGCCTATATATACACACACGTATATATATATAATATACTACATAGTTATTGATTCTAGGAAAATTTTTAAATTGTGTAGTTAATTTGCATTCTGCTGGCGATAGATTTAGTATCAGGGTATTAATTATAAATTACGCTTAAAATACTTCAGGGTGTGCTAAATCTGATTTCTTTGCCTTTGGTTTTTCTGCGTGTTGGCCATAAAGAAAAATGTTCACTAGTGACTGAGTTACCATGGTTTGGGGGCCTATTATAAAAATCATCATGTGCTTCTTTGAAGTTGAAACAATGGGTTTCACTTGTCATATAGGTTGATTTAAGTATGTAAAAGCCCATGATAAAAAAGGCTATAATGTGGTATTGTTTAATATATTGCAGAATATGGAGAATCTACTGATTATATTTCATATATGAGAAAATAATTTTTTAATTTTATAAGTCAGACAGCTGTTACAAAAGATTTTTTTAATTAAAAAATCCTAGGTTTTGAAAAGATAACCTCAGTTCATTGTTTTGTTAGCAGTTTTTGTTGAGAACCCAGGAGACTGGCCAGTTAGGACCTTTCTGCCTCATGTGGCTAATACAGATGTGGCTCAGTTTATTCACATAATGACCAGCTTGAAAATTATAGTTGTTTTGTGGATGGTCCTCCACCCATGGACTTCTCCCTTCCGTCCAGTGCTGGGGATTGAAACGAGGACCTCACATATATTATATTCCCAGGTTTTTTATTTTTTTTAAATCTAGTCCTTTAAAACAGATTGCCCTTTAAAATTTACTCTGGACTCCGTGCTCTGGGATCACTCCTGCTGGGGCTTGGAGAACTAGATGGACTGCGGGGGGTCAAACCTGTGGTGACTTTTGTGCAAGGCAAGTACCCCACCCTCTGTACTGTTGCTTCTGTGCCAGCCGGTGACTTTTAAAAATAAAAACAAAAGTACCTAAACTGCTTCATCCTTCACATACGGCATTTTTATCCGCATGAAATTTGAAAATGTTTCAGACAGGCATAGGTGAGGGTGTTGGGGAAATTGATTTCATAGCCTTGATGGCGATTATTTCACTCTCGCATTGTTTTTAGAAATCTCTCACTTTTGTTTTTGGGCTACACCGATGATGCTCAGAGGTTACTCCTGTGACTATACTGAGTTATCACCTGTGGTGATGCCCAGGATGCCAGGGATCGAACCTGGGTGGGTTGTGTGCAAGGCAAGCGCCTTGCCAGCTGTACCATCTCTCAGGCCCTGTTTTTAGAAATCTCTCTTACCTAAACCTTTCCTCTTACTGTTGTTTTTTGGGTTTCTCTTCTTAATAAATTTTTGTTTTGTTCTGCTAAATATGGTACAGCTGCTCCTCCACTTGTGATGGGACTATGCTGATCCCATCCTAAATTGAAAATATCTTCAGTTGCAGTATGATGTTAGGAGTACTCAGTACACCTAACTTCATACTACACTACCAAGCATCATGATGAACCCTGGCCTAACATACGTTCAGAATAATGAAGTCAGCTTCCAGTTTGCTAAAATCACCTAAAATAAAGCCCGTTGTTTAGTAAAGTGTTGAAAAGCTCCTGTAAGTGATTGGATTTTTGTCCTGAAAATGAAAACCTGTCTCTTGAGTCTCTACTCTTGGCCCTTATGATGGTGTTGCTGACTGAGCTGTGACTTGGTGTCACTGCTCAGGACCACGAGAACTTGGCAAGATCAGAATTTGATATCTGATTTTTACTAAGTGTGTAACATTTTCATGCCTCGATAAGAGTTCAAGAATGGCAAGTCAAGTGAAGATCATCTGTATAGCCAAACCCTGAACAGTGCACCAGAAGCACAAAAGGGCTTTGCCTTTAAGAAAAACCACCTACCTAAGAAGGTGGTGACATAATTTTTTCAACCTCATGAAGTAAAGGGAAAGTTTTCACTGAAAACACTGTAGAGAACTGTTCCACACAGCAAGATGCTCACTTGCCTGCTGACCAGGGAAGCTTTCAGATCAGCAAGATTCCCACTCCCCCCCCCCCCCCCCCCCCCCACACACACACACACACACGCACACAGGAATTGTGTTTGATATGCATACAAAGCGGAAGGACATGTTTTATTTCTCTTTAGGGAGCTTTCATAAAAAGTGAAAGGTTTTGAATAAACTGTCACTTGCAAAAACAACAGCACGAGTCAACCTACCTTCCATTGATTTATTTTATTTTAGACACTTTTATAGCTTTGAGCATCAGCATCAGAGTCATCTAGAATGAAAGGCCAGATATCTTTTTTTCTGGTAGAGAATAAAAAAATGTGTAGTAGGTCCTCTAGCAATTGAAATTATGTAAGGGTGCACATTCAGGAGGAGTTTATTGTGTTTCTGGAGCATTGTCTCTTTGTGTGGTGAAGTGGAGTCCATGGTTATTTTTGTGCCTCAGTGCTGGTGGTGGCCCTCCCAAGTCTGCG